AATTATTACAATTTACGGATAGAAAAAGGAAGAATTTTCAACGAATAAAAAATCGTTTTCCTTACATTTTATTCAAAAATTTAAATTAAACGATTCTTTCCTATAGTCTCAAAGATTTTTTTCTTTGCTCAAATTTTTTTTCTTCAAAAAAGGTTCTTTTTCAGACTTCGCACTCGATAATTAATTATAATTAATTTTAAAAAAGTAGCAAAAAGTAGCTTTCAAACTAAAAGAAAAAGTACTTCTTTCTTATCCTGCTAATAAATTAAATTCCTGCAACAAATTTTATAAAAATTTTTAAATAATTGAATTCCTGAGAAATTATTCATTTTACAAAGAATTCTATTAAAATTTTTGAGAATACTTGAATACCCGTGTGACATTTTATTAAAATTTCTTAAAATAATTGAATTCCATAAAAAGCATTTTAATATTTATGAAAATAATTAAATTCTTGCTAACGATTTTATTAAATTTTTTTAAAATAATTCAATTTTCAAGAAAAAATTTATTACTTTTAAAAATAATTGAATTCTTGTGATGAATATTGTTTTTTTTTATGAAAATAATTGAATTTTGCAAAGAATTTTATTTAAATGACTCAAAATAATTGAATTTTCAAGAATAATTTTGTTATTTATCTTTAACAATTGAATTCTTTCGAAGAATTAATTATGTAAGTAATTGAATTCTTGGGAAGAATTTTATTAAAATCTAAAAGAATAATTGAATTATTTCAAAAAATTTAATTAAAATTGTATTTAAAATAATTGATTTCTTTCGAACAATTATATTAAAATATTTAAAAATAATTGAATTCTTGTGAAAAATTCTAATATTTTTGTAAATAATTGAATTCATCCAAAGAATTTTAAAAAACATTTTTCCAAATAATTGATTTTTTCGAAAAATTGAAATTAAATTTTTAAGAATAATTACATTTTTTGATCAATTTCTCTAAAATTGTATTCAAAATAATTGAAATCCTGCGTTGAATTTGATTATTTATAAAAATAATTGAATAGTTGAAAATTTTATTTGTAGAAATAATTGAATTTTTCGATTAATTACTTTAAAATGTATTAAAAATAATTGAAATTCTTCAATGAGTTTTATTATTTATGAAAATTTATTGTGAATAATTGGATAAAAATTTTGTTAAATAATTGATTTTTTCGAAATTTTTTTGAAAATTCATTCTATTCTAAATTATAAATGAATTCCTGTGGAAATTTTATTATTTATGAAAATAATTGAATTTTGGATGAATTTTATCAATTTCTTTTTTTAAATAATTGAATTCTTTTTCGAAATTTTATGAAAATATTAGATATTGAAAATAATTGAATTTCAAATATTTTTTGAAAATAATTGAATCGTTTTAAAGAATTTGATTATAATTTTTGAGAATGGTTTTTTGATTTCTATTATTAGCGAATTTAAAGTAGTGAAAATTCTCTCAAAAAAAACAGAAAAAGCTTTTAGTGGCTGAAATCTAAAAAAGTACCCAAATAGTAGCATAACGTCAAAAAAGTAGTAAATATTAGGTGTCAGTAGATGAGTGCGAAGCCTGTTTTTTTGTTTTTGAAAAAAAATATTCATCCTATTTTTTTTTTTTTTGAGTAAAGAAAAAAAGGAATGAAAATTGTTTTTTAACGTGTCTCCCCCTTTCTCTAAAAATTGAAACATCTTTTTTTCAGTCAGAAAAAAGATGCTGGAGAGAGTTTCAGTCTGAAAGATAAGGGATTGAATCGTTCTAAAATGTCGTGAGACCATGAGTGCCCTTTTTAATGGGGACGAGACAGACTTAAAACAAAAGGAAAAAAAACTCCCGCCGAAAGTACATAAATGGTGCAATCCATGTGAAACGAATCGAAGTGACAGAAAAAAAAAGAAATTACGAAGAATGCAAAAGAATATGTGAATCTAGGGGAGAAGGAATCCAACCAAGTGCGATTAAATGCATTAAAAGCGGAATGAAACACTTCATTGAGAATCCATGTGAGTGATTTTATAGTATGCGGTGTGGGTGGTAGTTGTAGAATTTAAACAGTATTCGCGGCAGCATCTGTTCATTGACTCTGCGAATAGTCCATTATTAAAACGAAAGAGAATTTTCAATCCCAACTCGAGTTCCATCCAGATTTTGAAAATAATAAATTACCATCATAATTTTCTTTCTTTTTCTATGGAAGGAAACCTATAAAAAGAAGAAATTAGTAAACGTCTATATAAAATCATCGATTTTCAAATAATTAAATTAAATTTTCATTATAATTAACTTTTTTCCCTATTTGCTGATTGAAAATTCAAAGCTCAACCTCTGCCAAACTGAAAGTGATACGACAAACTTTATGCTCTGACACTTCCATCTAATGCAATATTAGTTTTCAAAGTTTAAAGATAAAGTTTAAGTAGATAGTTGAAATTGTTAATTTCGTTGAATTCAGAACACGATCTAATAATGTTGAACATTTCCCCGAAAAACGAAACCTGCAAACAAGTTGTAAATAAATTTTTAAATGTTAGAAAAATAAATAAATTTAATTTTTCAGACTTTCGTCTGAAAAATTTAATTTATTTATTTTTCGATTTCAATTCTTTTCATTGAATTTTTAGGAACAATTATTGAAAATAAGAAAATAAAAACGATGAAAATAAATTGAATTTTGAAGGCAAAAAATATTTTTGAGAGATAAGACGTAAATGAGAAAAATGTTCAACGAATTTCTATGGGGGCTAGAATTAGTTTTCTATAATATAGAATTAGGAATTTTCTTTGGAGTCTACCGAGAGAAATACGATTCATGATTCTATTTTATTACATTTCTGAAGAATATTACTTAATGACTATTGCTTCTCCCGTTCATTTCTCGTCCTTGCTAATCTGTCTACCTGAGCTACGAGACTATGAGAGAAAATGAACCCCTAGGTATCCAATACCACATGAAACGATCGTTACAATGCAAACCGATATTCTATACACAAGTGATGGAATTTACTATTCTCGTAACATCAAACTGCAATTGTATAAAGCGTAACAATATATCAAAATTTTAAAAACAGTATTTCGAAAACAATATTTAAAAACAATATTTAATTAAAAAACAAAAATTAAAGACAATATTAAAAAAAACAAAATTTAAAAAATAATATTTAAAAATAACTTAAAGTTAAATAAATAAAAAAATAATAAAGTGATAGAAAATTTCAGTTCGATAAAAATAAAAAAACAAAATAAAACTTTCAATACGTTTGTTAAGTTCCAACTAAAACAAATATTAAACTTTTTCAATGATCCAGTTTTTGAACGTTCAGATAAACGAAATATTTTTTATTAAAAGTATTTTTATAAGTTGCTTATAAATTACTATAAAAATATAAAAATTGAAATAATAAAAAGTTAAGTCAATAAAAATTTTAAAATATAAAATTTATAAACTTTATAATATTAATTTTGTTTACAATGATGCAAAATTATTGTAATAAAAATTAAATTTGAAGAAAAAATAAATAAATTTCGTTCCCTTGAACGTTCAGAAAACATTAGAAAAATATGTTCAAATCAAGGACAATATTTTTAGTACGACTGTTAAATAAAATTGTTAAAAAAATCAAATTTAAACGTTAATTTGTTGTAAAATTAATTTTCAAATAGGTCAGCAAAGTTTAATTTACATTTTTTTGGTAAATTTAATTTACATTATATTTTTCACAAAAATCTAGTAATTTTTGTTAATATTTTTACTTTCGTGAAGTTTACAACGTTTATTAATCAACAATTTAGAGGAGAAAATATTTTTCTAAGCAATTTTGAATAAACTTCTGTATAAAAGACATTTTTACAAAGTTTTTTAAACCACCATTTTTAAAAGAAACACTTTTAAACAGAAAACTTTATTATTTTCCTTGTGGAAAACATAAATTTCATTTAAACTTTTATTACAAACGTTGTAAATTTCACTCACGTGTATTTACACAGAAAAAAAATTTCTTTCATTTAAATGTTCAAAACTTTAGGGAAATGGGAAAATATTCTTTTAAATTTTTAAATAATAAAAAGTAACAGATAAAAAATAGAAAATAATACAAAATAATAGATAAAAAATAGTAAATAATAAAAAATGAAAGATAAAAAATAGAAAATAATAAAAAATAAAACAGAAAAAATTTAAAATAATAAAAAAAGAAAAGATAAAAAATAGAAAATAATAAAAACTAAAACAGAAAAAATTGAAAACATTAAAACAACAAACGATAAAAAATAGAAAACAATTAAAAATAAGAAGATAAGAAGTAGAGAATAAAAAACAAAATAATAAATAAAAATAAATCCTATTTCAAGTTAAAAATTTTTAAAAAGTAAAAAAGCGAAATATTGACTAGATTTTCAGCGTGAAAATAACTATACGAGAAGACCACGAGTTTACCATGGCAGTGTATATCGATGAAAAGCCGGCAATATCAAAAATGTTTACATCCGTTCTCATGTTGGTAGCTACGTCAAGTAAACAATAAACACAAGAAGATTGATAAATTGGCGAGAAAAGCTAATTTTCCCCTCAACTCTCATCAAACACTAAAAAGGGGGCAAAAGATACCCACCAAGATCTCTCTACACACGTGCAATGAAAACAAACCGAAGCACCGAAGCCCGTTAAAGTCTAATAATTCAAGAGCAAAAACAAATCCCCCTAGAAGGATATTTTATAACAATCCTAAATAATTTTCCAATACGAAAAATTTCGTTAACATCAAAAAGAAGATTTTCTTTGATTTTTTCAATGAAGAATTTTTTCTATGAAAACTTTTTTTTAAATGAAGAATTTTTTCTATGAGAACTATTTTTTTAAATGAATAATTTTTTCTATGAGAAATTTTTTTTTCTCAATGAAGAATTTTTTCTATGAGAACTTTTCTTTTTTCTTTGAAAAGAAAAACTGACCTTTCCGTGTTAGTAGGCTTTTCGTGTTAGACACATAAGATTGTGGAATGTTTACCTGACACTGGACGTGTTAAAATCTGACGATCTATTGAATGCATCAGTCTGTTGCCTCCTGAGTTCTTCTTCTCTCTTCTCCTCCTCAGTGGGATGAAGCGGAATGATAATATAATCCGGTTCCAATTTCCGCTTTTGAATTTCCTCCGGTCTTACAGTCACACGATTCACTTGTTGAATTTGTTCACTTTTTTTCTGCACCTCAGAACGCGGCACTTTTGAACGACCACTAAATCGTAATTTTGAAAATCTCTGAAGAAAACCACCGAGGCCGCCTTTTTTTCTCTCCGGTGTCACCACTGTCACTGTCACGTCGCTTTTCGTCGACGACGCTCCAGCGAGACGTTTCGCCACAGTCGACATCTCGCTCAACACTGGCCTCTTCTCCTGATCAACGTTGTTGTCGTCTTCGTCGTTGTCACGAACTCTGCCTTCATTTCTATCAACCGCTACGACCACTGCTGGATTACCACCACTACTATGCCGGCTTTCCAGAGCTCGAGGTGGGGATGAAACGAAAGCGTGGTCACTATCACCCCGCTCACAATTCTTAGCCCCTTCTTCTTTTTCTTCCGTTTCTTTCTCACATTGCCACAATCGTTCTCCAGATCCTTCCGTAATTCTCTGATCTCTGTCAATTCGAATCTCATCCACATCGCCTTGACTCTCTCTTCTTGTTCTGTCACTTTTTTTCCTAATGATTTCTCGTCGGAAAGCTTCTTTTCTCGTCGGTGGGGTTTCAACGTGCACGAGTACATCTTGCTCCAAACATTGAATGGGTTTATTTTCCAAGCAGGGATAATCTACCTCGTCGTCTAGTCGACATCTAATATCCTCCTCAAAACTACCGTCTTCTCCATAGACTGAAAATAGATCCGAGTTTTTTTTTATCTGTGTAAAAAGGGACTCGTCCTGCGTTATGGAGTTCTTTGATTCATCTGCCTCTTCACAGGCGTTCATACGTTGAAATGATTTTGACTGAAGTGCTCTTATATAGTCACACTGTTGAGCAAGTTCATAGCTCGCATTATTGAGAACTCGACGACCGGAATTCGAGCGTCTTGGTGAATTTGTGGGATGCTCGTCTTCGTCCTCCATACACGATGGCATGGGCCTGAGATTTTTTTCATTAACTTCGTATTGTTGAGCGAGTTCATAGCTCGCATTATTTTTCACTCGTCTTGGCCTCTGTTTACTTGAGGCGAGTCTTTGCACTGTTTCCATTGCGGCAATGACTTCGCTTGTGTTACCAGCGGCAGTGGCTTCCTTGACTTCGCGCTTAAACTGTTTTATGGCCTCGTCAACAACGGCGTCGACGTCGTTTTCCATAGCCATCGCAATCTCAAGTACATTCTCGATTCTGTCCTGTGTCTTCACTGTCGATGTCACTGGCTTGTCTTCCAATGGAAGATCCTCCTCCTCACAATTTGGAGTTTCGTTGTATGACAAAATTTGCTTCTCGACCGATTGTGGATCCTGTGTTCTCACCGATGATTTTTTCCCATCCTCGGACTTTGAATTCACTTCATTCACTTTATTCGCTTTATTCATTTTATTCCCTTCATTCACTTTATTTATTTCATTTACTTTATTTCCTTCATTCACTTTAGTTCCTTCATTTACTTTATATCCTTCATTCACTTTATTTTCTTCCTCTTTGAATTTTTCACTCTCCTTCTTCTTCGGATTGATTTTTTTACTTCCGCTATTTCTCGCCTCCTCGTCAATTGCGATAACGTCCGCCATTTTTGTCTCTTGCTTCTCGGAGGACTTTATGACATTGCTGGAGGAAGAAGAAGAAGTTCCGCAAAGATTTAAATCCACGGGTACACTTGTGACGCGGGTGTAATTTTCGAAAACTGTCGTCTTCGACGAACCAAAAGGTGAATAGTTGCCGAGATTATCGTTGTAAGCGGACTCCGAGGAGCTGCAAGGCAGACTGGGAGCGCTTTGAGATTTATCCGTGAATCTAAAATTAAAACTTGACTTCTTGCTCCACCCTGGTTGGTGCTGCTGCTGTTGCTGCTGCTGCTGATGATGATGATGCTGGCTAGCCACCATATTGTTACGTCCAGCGGCCATATTAGTGGTTATATTTAGCCGACTGCTTTGGCCAGATTTTAAACCAAGAAATGTGTCTTCCTCCGTCTCGAGACCAATTTCACGAAGATCAATTGTATTGCGATAGTCGAGGGAAGTCGCGTAATTTGTGCTGGAGTCGCCAAACACTGTTGCTCGAAAACCGTCCTCGAAACGATCCAAATCCGATTGCTGAGGCACTTCAAGGATCTCGTCCTCGTCGAGGTCCTCCTGATCCTCCTCGTATTCGTCGTACTCGTCGTACCAAAAACCTCTGTCAAGGATTCAAAAGAAAATTGTTACACAAAATTCTCCATCAAAAAGGATAAGAATTACAAATATATTTAAAAAAGTAGTGTCAAATAATTTAATTAATATTCCTGAATTTTAATATCAAATAATTTAATTAATATTCCTGAATTTTAATCTAATTATATATTTTTTTAGAGATTTTCGCACTAAATCTAAAAAAGTTAAGATTTTTTTTTTAATATTAGTATTTTTTTTTAAAGAGATTTTCGTGCTAACTCTAAAAAAGTTAATTTTTTTAAACGATGAAATACTAATTTATTTTTCATTTATACAAAAAAACTAAAATAGTCATCATCAACATCAAAAGTATTAATACTATCTATTTTTTGAAGTTAATTTTCAAAGTGATTGTAACCACAGTTCTAGGAAAATATTTTACGTGAGAATGCAAGTTACGATAAATAGAAAGGAAGTGTCTTTAAATTCCATTGTTCTTCAAGTAATGAGTTTCTAGAAATTAATTATCATCCGTACGTGTGCATTTGACAAATTCTAAAAATAATTATTCTTTACAAAAAACAAAAATTTTCACAAAAGAAAATTTTACCAAAAAATTTTTACTAAAAGATTGATACAAAAAATTTGTTACAAAAAGATTGACAACAAATAAAAATAGTTACAAAAAGATTGATACGAATAAAAATTGTTACTAAAAGTAAAAAAAAAATTTTACGAAAAGATTGAAACAAATAAAAATTGTTATAAAAAAATTGATACAAAAATAAATTGTTACTAAAAGTAAAAAAAAAATGTTTACGAAAAGACTGAAACAAATAAAAATTTATTCAAAAACAAATTGTTACAAAAAGCAAAAAAATTTACGAAAAGACTGAAACAAATAGAAATTGTTACAAAAAAATTGTTATACAAAAACAAATTGTTACAAAAAGCAAAAAAAAAAAATTGTCAAAAAAGATATTGTAACAAAAAATCGTAACAAAAAATTGAAATATAAAATTCTTGAAAAAATTTTATAGCGAAAAAATTCTTATCAAAAATATTTACTAATTTCTTTTATTTGATTTTTAAGTACCTGACTTTTCCTACGATCTGTGAGCAGCTATGAAATATTTTATCAGGAAATAGAATAAAAAATAGAGATAAAATAATAAAAATTGGCAGAGAATTCCCGGAAATTTGGTGGCGAAAAATTGCGGTGGAAAATAAATAAAAAGAATAATTAGCCGATCATTATAGATTACAAAGTGGTTGTCTGCCTTAGAAATAAAACCTTCAGCAACATCAGGGTCAAGATTGACACTTACAGGCCAAGAAAAGTGTAGGTCACGAGGCAATAGATACGTTTGGACGATAGACAGTGCCAACAGTCTAACTGCATTCGAGGTTTAAGGTCAGCAGACAAGGGACCTTCTGTCTCGCGAACGAGATTCTCTTTTCTATATACAAATCCAATCAAGTTACGATTTATTCGCATTTAATCAGATCCAATGTTTGAAAATTCCAATATTTCATAGTTAATCTAACTGATCTAAATTAAACATTAAAATTCTATTGTTAATTTCCCGATAGAATTATGTGTAAGGATTGTAATATTCTGTTTATAATTAATTTTTTTTGTGTTTTAAAGTAAAAACATTTTTTACTTGAGATGTAAAGGACAAAAATAGGAAAACATTTTTCCAAAAATGAATAGAATAGAGAACAGATTTTCATTAGGAATAATGGACAAACGTAATTGCTTCTATTACTTTTCACGTTCACGGAAATGAGGTGCTCCAGGCGGATACAAGCTATAGAACTCAAGGCAGGGCTGCAAGTAGAATTCAAACAACCTGCACTTCTCATTGACAGTAAAATTCACTATTCATTAAATTTGTTTTTTAAATTATTCACTCTGGTCCTTAATTTCAAGAATTTTATCTATTTCATAAAATTGTTTATTAAATAACTAATTTTTTTTTAAGTCTATTTCTCTATTTATTTTTTACTCTCTTCCCGTTTGCGTAGGAAATAAACAAACAAAAAATTTCAAAATGAAAATTTTCGAATGAATGATTCACTTTTGACTATAGAAATAACTAAATGTCACAATATTTGTTTGAATGAAATTAAAGAAATAACTAGATTGTGGGAATAAAAATTAAAGTAAAAAAATTATGAACAGTAAAAAATATTATGTAAGAAATTATAAACTATTAATTAGAAAAATGCAAAACAAGAGAAATCTTTAAAAAAGCAATAAAATTTTAAAACAGCACACACTGATTATGTATTTTTATTTAAAGTCTTGAGCTTTGAAAAAGAATCGTAAAAGAATCTAAAAAGTAATCTAAAATTTACATAAATTTTCTAATTAGTAAATATTATTTCCTACTTGTAAAAATGTACAAATAATTGTAAAAATGTGTGAAAAAAGTATTTCTAATTTTAAAAATGAAAATTCGATAATAAATATTCAAAAGACAAGAAAAAAAGGCAAAAAGTACTTAAAAATTTCAGAAATGAAAATTCCACGATCAATTCCCAAAAGAAGAAAAAATTGTCAAAAAAATTCGTTTTACTAGCAAAAGCAAAAGAGAAAATTTGAAAAAAGAATAAAGTTTAAAAATTGCCGCCCTGCATTGACCTCTGGAGCAGTCGCGCTTCCCTCCGTGAACTCTCATTGACCCAGTTTGACCCAGTGTTGCCAAAACAAACCGACGATAATTCACCAAATATTCTAGTGACTAACAAATTCTACACACATATAAATGTAAACACACAGGAAGATGGATATATAGAAAAAAACATACCTCCTGCCCCCGTTGCTCCTGCGTGTCCGAGATAAATCGCTGTTCCTCTTCGAGAAAAGAGGTGCGAAACCATTGGACACAATTTCCTGTCCCACGTCACGATCCTTTTGGCAAGTGTCGAGACTTTCGAAGCTGCGATAGGGTCTGATACGTGGGAGACAATCACCCGGTGGACCCGGGAAACCGTTGGGCACCACCCTCTCGTAATCTTCGAGGCTGTCGGGCGATGTGTTGTTCTCCAGTCTCGAAGCGTTGGATCGATTGGCGTACTCGAGGGAGTCGAAACTGTAGCAGGACGGCGAGAATGTGGCGCAGGTCCTCTCGAGCGATTCAAATTGGAGAAGAGAGCTTGCTCTCGAGGATCCCGATGATCTTGATGATCGTGGCGAGGTGGGAAATTCCTCGCCGAATGTCGTCGATTCCTCGAATCTGTCATGATGTAATTGTTGTTGGTGTTGTTGTTGATGATGATGATGATGGTGATGATGGTCAGTACCGTTTCTACGTCTTCTTTTCTTTGGTACCACCGAATTGCACTCACTTCCACTGCCGTCCAATTTCTCCTCTGCTTTCGATGACACACCGAGAAAAAAAAGAAGAACATTAAATATTATTTAGTAATTTTATTATTATTTATCAAAAATAATTTTTTAAATACCTAATAATAATATTTTATCAAAAAAGAAAAAAAAGAACGTTAAATATCATTTAGTAATTTTATTATTATTTAACTATCACTTATTTTAATCACTTCCTCTTGGTGGAAAATTAGTACATTTTTATTAAAATTACAAGAAAGAAAAATCAAACTATTTCCTAAATAAAAAAGAATTTTAGCAGTTGCAGTTCTTTTCTGTTTTCTCTATTGTCTAATTTAATAAACGAGATAACGCCGAGACCTAATTGACTATCTGCTACTAAATTGTTTCTCATTCACAAATCTACTACTATAGCCTTCATCAAATTTTCACCATCCCCTCTGGAGGGGGACTTAATTTCTGCTGGTACCCTGTTGAGCAGAATTTACAAATATATTCAATCTTCTTGATCAATTCAGAATTGTAATTAGCTTAAAAATAAGAAAAAGATCGATAATTTCAACTTGCAGACTTCGCACTCGATAATTAATTTTCAAAAAGTAGCAAAAAGTAACTTCCAAACAAAAAAAAAAAAGTAGTAAAAATGTAACTATCGAAAAAATTAAAATTCTCTTACTTTTGTACGAAAGGACATGTCCCGTTTATAATGATAAATAAATAAATAAATTTTTAGAAAATTCCAGTGGAAATTAAAATTTAATTTCCACGTCGTATAATATATATTATATCTTCAAATTTCTAATTGAATTTCTATTGAAGAGAAAAAATGGAGATCAGGAAAAAATTAGACATTATCAAAAATTATAAAAATTCGAAAAAACGAATTTCTTAAAATTCAACATTTTTTCTTCCTTTTACGGCATTTAGATTCATTATTTTTGTGCTTTTTAAAAATACTTTACTTATTTAATAGTCTTGACTCTTTAGTAAAAAATCTAAAATTATCGAAAATTATCAAAAATTCAAAAAACCGAATTTCTTAAAATTCAACATTTTTTCTTTTCTTTTATGGCATTTAGCTTCATTATTTTTGTGCTTTTTAAAAATACTTTACTTATTCAATAGTCTCGACTCTTTGGTAATAAATCTGAAATTATCGAAAATTATCCAAAATTCAAAAAACCGAATTTCTTAAAATTCAACATTTTTTCTTTTCTTTTATGGCATTTAGCTTCATTATTTTTGTGCTCTTGGAAAATACTTTACTTATTTAATAGTCTCGACTCTTTGGTAAAAAATCTAAAATTATCGAAAATTATCCAAAATTCAAAAAACCGAATTTCTTAAAATTCAACATTTTTTCTTCTCTTTTACGGCATTTGGATGTATTATTTTTGTGCTCTTGAAAAATACTTTACTTATTCAATAGTCTCGACTCTTTGGTAAAAAATCTAAAATTATCGAAAATTATCAAAAATTCAAAAAACCGAATTCCTTAAAATTTAACATTTTTTCTTCTTTTTTACGGCATTTGGATTCATTATTTTTGTGCTCTTAAAAAATACTTTACTTATTTAATAGTCTCGACTCTTTGGTAAAAAATCTAAAATTATCGAAAATTATCAAAAATTCAAAAATCCGAATTTCTTAAAATTCAACATTTTTTCTTTTCTTTTATGGCATTTAGCTTCATTATTTTTGTGCTCTTCAAAAATACTTTACTTATTTGATAGTCTTCACTCTTTGGTAAAAAATCTAAAATTATCGAAAATTATCAAAAATTCAAAAAACCGAATTTCTTAAAATTCAACATTTTCTCTTCTCTTTTATGGCATTTAATAAATTTAATGAATTTTATCAATTTTTTGTTTAAATAATTGAATTTTTTTGTGAAATTTTATATGAAAATATTAGATATTAAAAATAATTGAAATTTGAATATTTTTTGAAAATAATTGAATTGTTTTAAAGAATTTTATTACAATTTTTTGATTTCTAGTATTAGCGAATTTAAAGTATAGGAAATTCTCAAAAAAAAAAACAGAAAAACAGAAAAAGCTTTTAGTGGCTGAAATCTAAAAAAGTACCCAAATAGGAGCACAACATAAAAAAAGTAGTAAATAGTAGGTTTTACTAGCTGAGTGCGAATCCTGAACTTGAAAAGAAGAAAAAGGAAACTATTTTCAAAGAAATAATTTTCTTTGTACCAATAATCAATCGAAAGAGAAAAAATATGTAAAAACGGTGAAAATTATTCACCGAGATGATAAACAGAAGGAAGAAAGATGGACGAGAGAGAGTTGAGAACAAGGTAAACATTGAGGAGAATGTGAGGGTGTGTCACGTGTTACGAGTGCGATTGTGTGCTCTCTCAACTTCAACTGACTTCAACAATCACGAAGCCGACGAGAGTACGTATAATTCCATAAGCTCAACTTCCGGTTGAATGAACCGACTTCCTGGAGTCGAATATGGGTGGGGGAAAAAAAAGAGGGGTAAGAACTAAACGACCCCCTCATTGGTTATCCAAGGAAGACCCACTTCATCAGCTGCTCTTGTTTTTTGCACAGAGAATATAACTTTCTACCTAGTTTCTATAATGCTTCACGGAACGCGATTATAATAAATAAAAAGAAATATTTTCAATTTCTGATTTTTATAATTACATTTTTTTTAATGTAGCAGGACTTTTTTACCTCCCATATTGAGGGGGAGAGCGGGAAAGATGTAAATTTAATCTCAAAGACTTGAGATAAGCTGAAAAATTCTTTATATTGTCAAATATTTGCACAGACAAATATTGTTTTAAACACAGAGTTTAATCTGTTGACATTCCCGGTAAATTTCAGGTAGCATTAAAGGTGATCTAATTTTATCGCGCACTGACAAAAGATTACGTCCTGCTTTTAACTGCACGCGCGTAAACCACGAGACTTCGTTTAACAATAAATTAAAATTTGGCACCAATAAAGTCAACATTTTAAGGATAATTATTTACTTCCGAATTTAATTTATTGGGGGAAAAATAATCCCTTGTCTCCACTAAATAGAAATAGAAAATATTTTTAGTTATTCTATAAGAATAGATTCCTTTTTAATAGTAATTACAATAATTGTCAAATAAGGAAAATTTAAATTTAATTTAAGGGTAATTATTTATCTCTCGGGGCTATTTCGCACGCTTAAGTCTTGGTTTATTTGTCGCGGGTATAAATATTACTCAACGAGACAAGATGCTTGAATTTCGCAAAAGAAACTAGTATATAGCTAAACTATGATTGCATAAAAAGAAAGGGATTGGTACATTCGACAAGCTTTGGTACATGAGAGTTAAAGGATTATAAATTGGTTCGTCATTGCTGTAAAATTGATTTTATATTATTATTCCGTCATGTCTTAATAGAGCGATAAATTTTGCCAGTGACTATGAAATTGAGAGAGGAGTGTTATTAACAAGGTAAAAAAATACCTCAAGAAACTATAAAGTTTAAAACGAGCATTGACCGCAGTAAATATGTAATAATACAATTGTTTTTTCTCCTCTCGTCCCTTTTCGAAAAGGTGAAAAATTAATTTTCACAAAAATATTTATCAATCTATACCTCTTTCTAAAAAATACATTCATAACGATAATTATAAATTTAATAAATTAAAAATAATTAAAATTAATTACTTAATTTAACCAATAAACCAAATAATTAAAACTAATTAAAATAATATAATTATCGTTATTAATAAATTAACATAAATTAAATTTACATCCCAAAATCACATGAAGTAGTATTCTTAATCTATTTTTAAATTTCAAGTTTCAATTGTTAGTCTAATTACGGACATTTTTAAGTCACATTTTAAATGAAACATATTTTCCACGTTTCTATTCATTGCTGACTTCTAAAAATAACTTTATAAAAATGGAACGTGAGACATTTTTTACGAGAAGATAAAAATATAATTTATGGAAACTACCTTGAATTTGTGAAAAATCATCAGTTTTTAAAATAAATTTCACACAAATACAAGAGTCTCAATTTTCTTTTTTAAAAATACACTATCTCTTCTATTTAAAAGAAAAAAATATTTCATAATGTAAAAACAAAAGATAATGAAATACTATTCTTAAAGTAAAATGAGTTGTCAAATAAGTTTTAAAGTAATTTAAAAAAAATTTGCAAAACCATTATCGAAGTTAAAAATAATTACTATCTATACTTTTTTATCTTCAGAAAATTGTATTTTTATTTTTGAGAAAAACGAAATAAAAACAATGTTAATTTAAAAAAGAAATAAATTTTCGGAGATTAAGAAACGAAAAGCAAAAGTAAAATAAGAAATGGAAAAATAGGAAAAAACAAGAAAATATTTTAAAAATTTTTCTAAAGTTCCGAACGTTCAAATAAAAGAAATTTATTTTGTTTGAAATATTTTTTAAAAACTTAGTAAATAAAACGAAAAATAGAGGAAATTTAATATTTTTACTTAGTTCAGAATTTAATTTTTAAACGAAGACTTTTATTTAATAAAATAGAAATTAAATGAAGTAGCAAAAATATTTTCGTTCATTTGAACGTTCGAAACATTAGGAATATTTTTGAAAAATATTTAAAAATATTTAATAAGTATTTTAAAAACTATTTAAAAATGATTCACAAGTTTTGAACGTTCAAATGGACGAAATTTATTTTGTTTGGAATATTTTTATAAACTTAGTAAATGAAACGAAAAATATTGGAAATTGAATATTCTTACTTAGTTCAGAATTTATTTTTTAATATGAAGACTTTTTCTTTTAATAAAATAGGAATATTTTTGATTGCAAATATTTTCATAAATTGCTGAATGCAATAAAAATTAAAAACTTAATTTTACATTTGAGAAACTTAATTGTTAATTTTTTTTGTTGTGACGCAAAATTATTGTAGTAATAAATTTCAATTTCAAGAATAAATAAGTAAATTTCGTTTGTTTAAACTTTCGGAACTTTAGGATCATATTTAAAAAGAGTGAAAAATAGTAAAAAATATTTTTTAAAAATACTAAAAAGTAGAAAAAAATATTTTTTTTAAATTATCAAAAATAGTCAAAAATATTTTTAAAAAATAGTAAAAAAAAATAACTTGAATTATAAAATAAAGTAAATAAAAATTATAAAATTAGAAATAAATGTAAATCGACAATATCAACAGATCAAAGTAATAAAAGTAAAAAAAAATCGAAACAAAAATAAAAATAAATAAAAAATGATAAAAAAAGAAAAGAAAAATATTGAAATAAAAAAAAAATAATTTAAATATGAAAAATAGTAAATAAAAAAAGAATACTCTTTCATTATCTCTTGAGTGTAGGCAACCCTTCTTGCACTGACGTAAAGTCGGTTAGGAAGATCCCTAAGAACTGAACAATAAATAAATTACATTTAACACAAAATTTCTCGCCTAAACTCAACTTATTTTCTTTTGCTTTTGTATTCAATATATTTGATTCCTATTCAATATTATAATACCTCTTTTATAGTTAAGTATTAAAAAATACCGTAAATTTTAAGACTCGTTTAGAAAAACTCCAAGTTTTCTTTTTTTAGTTCTTTTTGAAAATAAATTCGACAAGAGGAAATTTTTAGGCAAAGTTCAGAATATTAAAAAGAAAAAGTTAAATTTCCAGTTATTCTTCAATTACCTGCTGCTCTCTGGTTGGCTTTTATATGAATTACGCTCTCCGTTTCCGAATCAGAACCCAACCAGTAGGTGGTGCCACTACGATCAGAATCGCTTTGTAAATCATCAGAAGTTTCCTCGAGAATTGTTTCCAGAAAATCAACTTGCTGCACCAGCACCGTATCTGTAATTAAAAAATAATCAATTAGATAAAAATTTCAATTAAAAAAAAAACTAATTTAAAAATTAAGTTCGGAAAAAAAATATTTCTTTAGAAATATTTTTTTTCTGAACTTAATTTCTAAATTAGTTTTTTGAAAATATATTCACATTTACAAGGCAATGTTTCGTATATTTTTGTTTTTATTATATTTTTATTTCTTACAATAATATTATAATAATAAAAATAATAAAAATACAAATAAAAAAATAATAATAAAATTTTAAATAATAAAAATACAAGTAAAAAAATAATAATAAATAATAATTTTATAGTAATAAGTGTCAATTCATCATTTTCTATTCCTATTTTGACTTCCACTGCTTTTCTACTTTTCTATTACTCTGCAGGGAAATTAAATGAATTCTTATGCAATATATCATTGTCACCACTGCACATATCATGGTTTTAATCATGTGTCATATACAGTGAAATTATGGAATCGAGAGAAGCAGGAAGTTGACCATGTCTTTGAAAATTAATCAAGCATGTTCGACCTCCTGTAATAAAATATCATGGTTAATCGGATTTTATTTGTATGAGTCAAGTCTACATGCAACATAATACGAACTGGGGCACATTAATGAACTGCAATCGCGATAAATGCCAACGTCTGATGTGAAAGGCCTTCTAATCTAGAATTTTGTCGGCGAAAGTGAAACATATTGTCCAGAATAAAAGAGGCAACTCACAAGATTCTCATCTTCAGCCAGGCTCAACGTCAATTTCACTTAAAAAGAAAAAAAAATACTCCCCTCTTGACAATTCAAAAAGAATTGTTCCCCTCTTTAAATATAATTATCATCAACCTTCAATTACACTCTTAAACTTCTTCCTCTTTTTTTTCGCTAATAACAATCTTTTTCTCCTATTGTTTAACAAATTTCCTGCTTTATTCTATTATTATTATTTTTGAAAACCGACAATTAAAAATTAAGAATAAAATACGAAGTAATAAGATTGATAAGAAAAAATATTTCCTGGAGATCAAATGATATTTAAATAAAAAAGAATGTTTCTTTGGTTTAAAGGAAAAATATTTTTCTACTTAGTTCCACTTGGGGAAAAAAAATGGAGACATTCACCACTCTCTTGTTCATCGCTGTTCTATATTCTTTCATTACAGAGTAGACGCATACGTAATGCCTACATCCATAACGGAACCTTATTCTGTCCTTATTTGCCCATCCGGTACAAAAATCTACATTTTAAATAATTTACTCGAGAACAAACTTCCGCGAAAATTACCAAATTAAAAAATTTATATTCCGTTCGAAGAGAAAAAGCAAAAAAAAATTAATTATTCAAAACAAGTAAATATCTAAATTATACCTAATTATGCCTATAATCTATTATCTAATTATCTTTAGCAAAAAAAAAAATTATTATATTAAAATATGAACATTAATTATAAAACCAATTTTTTCAATCGTAAAATTTAGTTAAATAATTATACTAATTCGTGTAAATTTTTTTTACATAATTAATCCCTCAGTTTACTTAAAAACGAAACAAGAATTGAACCGATTCGACTGAGATCTATATTTAAATATTAAATAATATTTCTCTTTCCGCGAAATAATTAGCACTTCGTTGTCGATATACATATTTTTTTTTACAAAAAATATAATCTACGCAAGTCAGCAAATTGTTGGAATTTTTTTTTCCAACAATAGTCAATGAGTATGTGAGTAAGTGGATAGTAAAATATCTGGTTTCTGTTGTCGGGTGTGTTATGAGTCAACATTAAAATATCAGCACCAAAGTCTTTCACGTACATTTATATATATACAAGTTCTGCAAAAACTGCAAAAAACAAAAATACATAAATTACCTTTTAATTAATAATTGAAAACGTATAGATTGAAAATTAAAAAATTTTTTTCCAAGGGTAAATTAAAAACAAAAGGAAAAAAAAATGACAAAATATATAGGAATTTCTAAACTACCATCTTGGTCGCAACTCTCATGATCGTGGAAGTTAATTTACTCAACTGGCTAATCATTCGTGGAACGTAACTCTTCGAGAATCATCCGGAAATCATCGATTTCTTCGAGACAAGTAAAACTGTAATTAAATACCAAAACGAGTTTCTTTTTTTTTTCTTTTGAATTTACGGAAATTTGTTATTGATTAAAATTATTATACACGATTTTCTACATGCGACGACCGATATTATTTATCGAGAAACATTGAAATGTTGTCGTGGGGAGGATTTCGTCCGATTTTTAATTTACTCGAATCTTCTTATTCGAATTCTTCTAATTAATATTTTTATTATTACTATTTTTATTTAATTATTATCCTTGTTATTAAAATTATTATAATTACTACAGTTCCATTTTTTATTTTATTGACAATTGCTTTTAATTTTCAAAAAAAAAAATATTTAAGAGAATAAAAACAATGAACAAAACTTAGAATGAGAAATAAAAAATTCATTCACAAGACTTTAGTGAATATGAATTAATTGCCTCGTTTCCTGTTACTTGTTTCTAAGACTTTAATATATGGTTCAGTGACCAGTTATCATAGTCGTTTAGACGAAAAAAAAACTTGAATGAATATCCCTTTTTTAATACAAGTAAAATCAATTTCAAAATTTAATCTACATGGAGAATAAAAATAAAATAAAACAATATTTTTCGAGAATTTTTCAAACACACGGTTTTATCGTACACAAACTCTATTGTTTAAAACTTTCCCTATCAAGTAATAAGAGGTAATGCTATAAGAGTTCATTATAATAATGAACACATTGCCGGATGTTGCGTAGCATGAAAAAAAAGAAAGAAATACCTTTATGTGCCCTAAAAACAATTAAATAAAAATATTTATTTCAGTATTGCATGCTTCAATGTTTTCATTTTTAACAATAGATCAAATTTAATGATACAAAAATAATAATTTTATTGATAAGTATATTTGACTTCATAATTATAATAATAACAATAATAATTATTTAAAAAAATAAATTTCTTTCCAATTATAGTAATAATTATTATTTTCATTATGAAATAAATAAATAAATAATTATATTATTAAGTATAATAATTATTATTTTAAATTATTATTTTATTCTATAAAAAAATAAAAAACGAAGTTAAAAACTTGAAATAATAAAGAAAAAAAAGCGAAGAATAAGAAAATATTGGAAATAATACAAAAAATAAAATAAAGTGAAGAGTATTTTCACTTGTGCGTGATAAAATTTTCTCCTACTATCAGTTAAAGATTCTTCAATGTATTTATAACTGCAGTATAATTACAACTGCAATGACAATTTTGTCTTTAATGGAAAGTCACATTTTATTCTCTTTAATGGTTCAAGGCTGTTTGGAGCCCTACCCTCTGAACAAACAATTTTCATGTCTAATAATTGGTCAGTATTAGATAAATCGCGTAGCTAATTTTAACTTTCTTCCCAGGAATTATCTAATAACTCAAGAAAAAACCTCAATTCTTTTAATCAACTCCTGAAAATATTTGTTTGAATAATATTTCAAGCTACCTATTAAGTAAATTAATATTGAAAAATTTATAAGCAACAATATAAAAATAATAAAAATCAGTAAATTCTCTCAATTATTTAATAATAGTTATAATTATTTGCTTTTCGTTAAAACCATTTTTTGGATTATTTTGTAATAAACTAAGAAATTAATTTGTAAAAAAAATACAGGTGTAATAAATGAATAAATTAATTTGTAGGTTTGAAACTTTAGGAAGAATTCAATTATTTTTATAAATATTATAGTAAAATTCTTTGCAGGTATTCAAGAATTTTCAATTCAATTTTAATGAAATTTCACGAAAAGATTGAATTATTTTTTTAATTTTTAATAAAATTTTTCGAAAGAATTTAATTATTTTCTAAAATTTTAATAAATTCTTCGAATAATAATTGAATTTTTAATTATAATTATTAACAGACACGATTATTTTAAAAAGATGCAAACATTCTTTGTTTAAATAAAATAATTTCAAAATTTTCAATTAAAATTATTAAAAAAAACATTTTTTTTAAAAAAACTTGAAAAAATTCTTCAAAAGAATTTAATTATTTACAAAAATTCTAATAAAATTGTTTAAAAGAATTTAATTTTCTATCAATAATTTTAATACGATGTAATAGTAAAATTATTCATTACAATTATTAACAAAATCGATTATAATAAAAAAACTAATTAAATTTTTTGAAAGAATTCAATAATATTATTAAAACCTTCGATATTATTTATTCTTCGAAAGAATTCAATTATATATTTTCAAAATTTTGAATTAAAATTATTAAAGAAACTTTAATTCTTTTAAAAAAAATTCAATGAAATTCTTCAAAAGAATTTTAAAAATTTTAATAGAATTCTTCTCAAGAATCAAATTATTTTTATAAATAATAAAATTCTTCTAAATAATTCAATTATTTTAAAATATTTTGATAAAATTCTTTGCAATGATTCAATTATTTTGCAAATAATAAAATCCTTCGAAGATATTCAATTATTTTTTAATTTTTAGATAATATTCTTTGCAATAATTCAATTATTTTCATAAATAATAAAATTCTTCTAAGGAATTCAATTATTTAAAATTTTTCGATAAAATTCTTTGCAGAATTCAATTATTTTCATAAATAATAATATTCATCACAAGAATTCAATTATTTTCAAATATTTTGATAAAATTTTTTCCAATAATTCACTGATTTTTAATAAATTAATTTTAAAATTAAAAAAAGAAAAGAAAAATTATTTTAAAAGTAAGGAAACAAAAAACTATTCTTAGAGACTAATTTTTTCTGCTCAGAATCTTGAAGAGTTTTTCATAAAATACATCAATGTGTTCTCAACATTCTCATGCACAGTGTTACCTATAGAATCAAGCTAATATGGTAATGTGCTCTAATCTTTCTAAGGTTAACCAGTTCGTGAGAAATATGTATCCATAGTAATGAGCATGTACA